CCGGGCGCTGACGCTGACGGCTCGCCGACCAACTGTGGCGAGCCGTCAGCGTCAGCGCCCGGAGGGTTGCGTGTACCCGGCGCGCTCCGGGCGCTGACGCTCCCGGCTCGCCTACGCTCGCCGTCTTTGCCCCCCACCCCCACGCCGTTACGCTGGGGGCTCCTTTCGGCTTCCCACTAACCCGCGTCGCTGCATGAGTCTTCTGAACCGGCTGGAGAAGAGGCTGGGGCCCTACGCCCTGCCGAATATCACGCTCTGGTTCCTGCTCGGCCAGGTGATGGTCTACTTCGCCCAGTACGCGGGCCCGCTGGCGGACAACGGACGCGGGATGCGGATCGCGGAGCGGCTGTCGCTGATCCCCACGGAGGTGCTCGCCGGCGAGTGCTGGCGGCTGGCGACGTTCCCGTTCCTCGCGCCGCTCTCGCAGTGGCCGCTGCTGATCCTCTTCTACTTCTATCTCTTCTACCTGATCGGCACGACGCTCGAGAACGTCTGGGGCGCCTTCCGTCTCAACGTCTTCTTGCTGCTCGGCTACGTCGCCACCATCGCGGCTGCGTTCCTCACCGAGGCGATCCAGCCGGGCGCCGGCGCGTTCACCTACGAGTACGTCTACGGGAGCATGTTCCTGGCGTTCGCCCGGCTCTTTCCTGACTTCGAGATGATGCTGTTCTTCATCCTGCCGGTGAAGATCAAGTGGCTAGCGCGGATCCAGTGGTTCTTCTATCTGTTGACGCTCGTCTTGGGGACGTGGCCCGACCGCCTGATGGTGCTCGCCGCGGTCTTCAACTTCGTGGTCTTCTTCGGCAGCGATATCTGGCGAGACGCCAAGTACGGCCACCGCCGGATGCAACACAAGGCGAAGACGCTTAAGGCGCCCGAGAAGGTCGCCCACGAGTGCCGCGTCTGCGGCCTCACCAGCGCGATGGCGCCCAAGGCGTCCTTCCGCTACTGCTCACAATGCGCGGGGCAGTGCTGCTATTGCCCGGACCATATCCGGGATCATGAGCATGTGGTGGAATGACGAAGCGCGAAGCAAGAATGACGAAATCCGAATGACGAATGACGAACCTGCCGGTGGCGGCATGTACCCACCGGCAGGTTCGTCATTCGTCATTCGGATTTCGTCATTCCCCTATGCCGCCATTCGCTGCCGCGCCGCCGCTACGCCCATCAGTTTGTCGATCGCATCGGCGGTCCGTGCTGTGGCGCCGAGCTGCGTCGTGACGAGCGCCCTGGCGCGTTCGCCCAGCGCCTTCGCTTCTTCAGGCATCTCTAGGCAGGCGTTGACGAACGCTTCCAGCGCCGCTTCGTTCTCGACGACGCGCGCGCCGTCGGCGTTGAGGAGCGTGGCCACGATGTCCCGGAAGTTTTTCGTGTTCGGGCCGAAGCACGTCGCCACGCCGTAAGCGGCGGGCTCGATCATGTTTTGGCCGCCGCGGCTGCCAAAGCTGCCGCCGACGAAGCCGATGTCGGCCGTTCCCCACCACGCGCCGAGCTCGCCAACGGTATCGATCAGAAGGATCGAGGGGCTAGGGACGGGGGACGAGGGATTTAGTTGGGTGCGTCGTTTCCAATCGAGGCCGCACTCGTCGAGTAGTCGGGCGACTTCTTCGAATCGCTCCGGATGACGGGGCACGAGCACGAGGCGTAGCTCGGGGTGCTCATCGAGCGCTTCGCGGAACACACGCAAGCAGATCGCTTCTTCCGGCGCCTGCGTGCTCCCCGCGAGCCACACCGTCTCGCTCTCGCCGAACCCGGCAAGACGCTTCAGTTCCCGCGTCCGCGCGTTGTCCCGATTCGTCTCCGCCCCGTCGTACTTGAGCGACCCCGTGACGTGCGTGTTGCGCCGCTTCGCGCCGAGGTCGATGAACCGCTCGCGCGTCGGCACGTCTTGGATTGCAAGCAGGTCCACCAATCGCAGCGCCCGCTGCACCAGCGGGCGCACCTTGCGGTAACCGTCGTAGCTGTTCTCGCTCAGCCGGCCGTTGACGATGGCGACCTTCGCGCCGTGTCGCTTGGCGGCGTCGATCAGGTTGGGCCACAGCTCGAGCTCGGCGAGCAGCAGCAGATCGGGCCGGACACGCCGCATCGCTTCGTCCACCGCCCATGAGAAATCGAGCGGGCAGTAGAACACCGTATGAGCGGCGCTATATTTCTTCCGCGCCAGGTCGTAGCCGGTTTTCGTTGTCGTCGAGACGACGATCTCCCAATCGGGATGGCGCTGCCGCAGCTCGGCGATCAGCACGCCGAGCAGGTTCACCTCGCCGACGCTCACCGCATGCAGCCACACGCAGGACCGGTCGCCCGTCCGCACGGGGACACGGCCCAGCAGCTTCTCGGCGTACCCTTCGCGGTACTTGCCGGTTCGCCACGCCGACCAAGCGATGGCGGGTGATGCCGCCGCGATCGCCCCGGCGTAAGCGGCGTTGAGTGACCAGCGCGTCAGGCGAGACATTCCCTCTCCTCCGACCGACTTAGCGCGAGTAACGATCGCCAACAACCGATTGGTTGGCGACGGCCGCCTTGAACGCGTCGCCATCAAAATCGACGGCGGGCTTCGCGGCGGGCGCGGCGGGCGCCGAGTTGGCGTAGCGATCGACGCTAGGCGTCGCCGTACGGGCCGCGGCGCCGGCGGCCGGCTTGCTGACGCTCGTAGCGACCGGCGCTGCCGATGGCGCCGCGGCTGCTGGCGCGGGCGTCGCGGCGGCTTGCGTGGCGCCTTCGGTGGGCGCCCCGCCCGAGCAGCCAGTGAACAGGATCAGGGCCGGCCCCACGGCAAGGACGCCGGCCGACAGGCGATAGCGAGAGAAGGACATAACGCCACTCCATCGGCGAAGACGCGCCCGCGCGACCGAAGCGCAGCGCAACAGAGGATTCGTAGCAGAATCACCGCGGCGGAGAGAAGAGCGATTCGCGGTCGACTAGAACCGCATCCGACGAATATCCATGGCGCCATGAATAACGGCTAGCACCCGAACACCGTCATCCGCATCCACTTCGTAAATGATCTGGTACTTGCCGTAGAGCTTGGACCGCACTTCGCGCGGGTCCCACTTCGGCAAGCGACCGCCGATCCGAGGATGATCGCCGAGCATCTCGACTTGCTGGAGAATCCCTTCGAGAGTCCGAACGGCCGCCTGAGGACTAACTTCTCCCAGGTAGCTATCAATCAGCTGCATCCAGTCGAGGGCTTCCTCGGTCCAGACTACTTTCGCCACGACCGGACCCTCGCCACCGCGTCCTCGTGGCTCGCCGTCCGCCCCGCATCGACATCCGCCAAGCCCCGCTCAACGGCACGGGCGGCGATGAGTTCCCGCAACAGCTCGTCGTAGGAACTATCCGCCGGCTGCCCTTCGATGATCGCGATCATCTCGTCACGCGGGAGCAAGGCCGATACGGCGACGCCGGTAGAGTCGGCAGGCGGATTCGTCGGAGTCATCTTCTCACCTGCGGTGCGCCGGAGAGGTTGTCCAATTGCATCGCCCGGTCAACGTCGATATGGACGCCTACGTCGGAGTAGTCTCCGGCCATTGTAGTCAGTGGCGGCGTCAATTCGAGCACCGTGACGCGCTGCTCCAACTCCACCAACTGTGCCCGCAGAACAATCACCCACGAAGCCAGGGCGACGACAAGCGCCAGCAAGGGCCCAATCGTTAGCAGCGTCGCAAGGCGGAATCGCATCGGCATGGTCGGCTGTCTCTATTTCAGGAAGGAGCCGCAGATGGACGCAGATAAACGCGGACGTCTAACACGACGGAATATCAGGTGATCGGCAAGTCGATGCGCGGGACGGGCTGAAGGTTCTCAGCTGGTGGGACAAAGACGGGCTGCTGCTGTTCGTAAAATTGCCGCTGGCGCTCGAGCGCTTCCCACTTCGAATGGCTAGCGTTCCAAGCGAGGAGGCCTTGTAGGATGCAGATGAAGCATAGGAAGTAATTTGTTCTTCTTAGTCGTCTGGCTTTCTCAGGCGAAAGCCATCCGTGTTCATCTACGTCCATCTGCGGCTCCCTTCCTTAGGCAGCAGAACCCGACCCCGCCCGCAAGCAGCACTGCTTGTACTTCTTTCCGCTGCCGCAGGGGCACGGGTCGTTGCGGCCGACCTTTTGATCGCGGTTGCGGATCGGCTCGGGCTTGGCGTCGGACTGCGACTGCGTCGGGTCGTCCGGGTCGGCCTGCTGCTCTTGTTGGCTCGCGGCTTCGCTGAGCGTGCTGGCCGACTCGTGCTTGGCGGTCGCTTCGGCCCAGGTGTTCGACACGAAGTCCTCGTTGAGCTGCTCCATGCGGAACACCAGGTCGGTGACGTAGGCCCCGACCGAGTCCCACATCTGCTCGAACATCCGCATGCCTTCGCGCTTGTACTCGACCTTCGGGTCGACTTGCGCGTAGCCCCGCAGGCCGACGCTCGACCGCAGGTGGTCCATCGCCAGCAGGTGTTCCTTCCAACCCTGATCGAGCACTTGCAGCAACAGCTGCCGCTCCATGCGACGCATCTCGGGGCGGTAGCGGTCCTCGACCATCCGGTCCACGAGGCGCGTCGCTTCGGCGCGAGTGAGCTTGGCGAAGGCCGCCGTGTCGAGCGCGTCCCCCGTCTCGTTCTCGAGCCAAGCGGCGAACTCGGTGAGCTTCTCCTCGGCGCCGCCGATCGACGCCAGCGTCGCCTTCGAGTCGGCCGACTTGAACAGCATCTCGACGCGGCTCTGCGCGTCCGCCGCGACCTTCGCCGCACGGGCGTTCGACTCGCGGCTGTACTCGATGAGCTGCTGGCGGATCTCTTCGCGTTGCTTGCTCTTGAGGTCGTCCAACGAGACGTCGACGCCGAAGCGGCGCGACGACCAATCGACCAACCCGTCGCGGTCGAGCGTCTGCTGCTTGGCGCCAAAGCGGTACATCGCCGCCAGGACCGGGTACTCCGCCTCGCGGGCGTCGTAGGCCTGCTCGGTACGCTCGTGAGCGACCTGCTTGATCTGGTCCGGCTCCAGCGGGGCGAGCTCCGCCGGGTCGAGCAGCACGCCGAACTTGTCTCGCATCCAGGCGCACGCCGAATCAACGCCGAAGCTCGGCTTCAGCAGCGGCTCGCCGCCCGACAGATCGACCTTGGCGAGCGCTTCGTTGGCCCGCTCGATCAGTTCGGTCGAGAGGTGGTCGCGGCCGACCTTCTTGAGGTCGCGGTCACGCAGGTTGAGGCCGAACCGGGCGTTGGCCCACTTGGTGATCGCGTCCCAGTTCCATTCCGCCTCGTCGTCGGCCGGCAGGTTCTCTTCGATGGCGTCGAAGATCTGCGCCTCGGCTTGGCGTTCGGCCTCGTCGTGGGCGAGGCGGTCGGCCTCTTCGAACGACAGGTTACGGAAGTCACGCGGGTCGAGCTCGACGCCGAACGCCTTGCCGGCGCCGGCGGAGAACGACTCGATGCCGTACTTCGCGTCGAGCAGCACGTCGAGGCGCTGGTCGATCTGCTCGTGGATCATGTCCAGCAGCAGGCCGCGGGTGTTGGCGCCGTCGAGGATCTGCTGGCGGTAGCCGTAGACGCGCTGCCGCTGCGAGTTCATGACCTCGTCGTACTCGAGCAGGCTCTTCCGCGCCTCGAAGTTCATCTCTTCGCGCTTCTTCTGAGCGCCTTCGATGCGGCGTTGGACCATGCCCGACTCGATCGGCTCGCCGTCTTTGAGGCCGAGCGACTGCATCATCTTGCGGACCCAGTCGCCGAAGAAGATTCGCAGCAGGTCGTCTTCGAGCGACAGGAAGAACCGGCTCGAACCGGGGTCGCCCTGCCGGCCCGAACGGCCGCGGAGCTGGAGGTCGATGCGGCGCGCCTCGTGGCGTTCGGTGCCGATGATGTAGAGGCCGCCCAGCTCTTTGACTTCCTTGCCCTGCGTCTTCATGCCGAACTCTTGGTCGATCGACTTGACCAGTTCGTCCCACTCTTCGTTCGGCACGTCGAGGCGCGAGGCGTACTTCTCTTGCAGGCGGGCCCACGCCATGGTCTCGGGGTTGCCTCCCAAGACGATGTCGGTGCCACGGCCCGCCATGTTTGTGGCGATCGTGACGACGCCCAGCCGGCCGGCCTGCGAGACGATCTCCGCCTCGCGCTTGTGCTGCTTGGCGTTGAGCAGCTCGTGCTTGACGCCGCGTTGCTCGAGCAGCCGCGACAGCCGTTCCGACTTC